CGGCGGCACTGGCCGGAGGCCGGCCTAATAATGAGATATCAGTAAAAAAGAATAGTGAGAAACAGCAGAGGCGGAACACGAGGGTACAACCAAAACGAACACGGAGGGGGCTTCCCATATCGGCGGTGGACAAACCTCCCTTTAGTAAACCTCCCCTTAATGAAAACGGCCTGGGACCGAAACCGACGGAACTGGACCCGCAAAAATGACGGCCGCGACGCCCTCTCGCGAACCGAAGACGGCCAATTCCTTAATCGACGTGTCAGGGTAGGAGGTCTGTCCACCCCCGAAACAAACACGGAGGGGGCCTCCCACAGCTGGCTCTGGAGATGTGTTCCCCCCGTTTTCTCTTGGGCTGGCAGGGCCTGCCCTGCGCCCGAGGGAGAGCAGCCGCCGCACGGTCATGCGCACGCCTCGGAGGCACGCGGGGCTCTGGGCTCGGCGCTGGAGACCCCCCTAAAATATGACAAAAAATACCATTGTATATCTTGGCTCTTCATATGATATGGTTGTGCACACGTTGTAACATAACAAATGTTTATCAACCAAACAATTTTACTTATTCTTATCATTGTTGTTATTCTTATTCGTATACTCACACGTAATAAATATACGTCCCCCGCGCGCGGAGGGCGCCTGGGGCGGCGCCGGAGGCGCCGGCAAACGGGGGCTCGGCGCACCTCCCAGGGAATTTCCGTGCGGAGCTCCGCGTGCTCCCTGTCTGTGTGTTTGCTCGTGCTCCGAGAGGGAGCGGAGGCGTGGCGGAGGGCGCGGAGGGCCGCCAAGGGCGGCGCCAGAGGCGCCGGCACGGGGGTTCAGCGCACCTCCCAAGGAATTTCCGTGCGGAGCTCCGAGTGCTCCCGTGTGTGTGTGTGTGTGCTTTCTCGTTCTCCGAGGAGGCGCGGAGGCACAGCAGATCTACCACCGCCGGGCCTTCGCCAGTCCATGCTCGATCAAGCCTGCGTTGTCGTTGTAGGTCGCAGCCCGCCCAGGCCGGGAGGCGGCCTGTACGCCAAGGTCTGCCCCCCAAAGCGGGCCTGCGGAAACATATTGTGCTGCAGACGTGGCCCTCTCCCGAAGGAGGCAAGCGAGCAGGAGGAGGAGGAGAAGGAAAAAGGAAGAAGGGAGGACCAGTGAAAACCCAAGAGCCGCCAATGATGTTGGAATAAACCCTCCCTCAAAACTCCCTCTTCATAAGCCCCTGCATCGATTCATTCACTGAAGGACCTGCCTCGCTATAGGACAACCGTTTTAAGAACCTGAACCATGCCAAAACATTGTTCGCGGGATTCCAACGCAACGGATTAAGCTGACTGTTGCGTCTTGGCGATCCTGAATCGCGCCAGAGCGCCATTCCTGGGACTTCCACACCTCGAATCAACGTAGCTGTTGCAGCCACATGATCCTGAACCCCTCCACAACACCATTTCTGGTAGGTTGATCATGAGAACCCGTGAACTCTTACAACTTTTGACATCGAATGTGCGCGGCGCTACGGCGAGAACCACATTTTGAAAGCCACAAGCCCTCAAGCCGTCAAACTCTTGTAATTATGAAGAACGAATGCACGCGGCGCTAAAGCGAGAACCACATTTTGAAAACCACCCGCCCTCAATCCGTGAAACACTCTTGCACAGTTTGAAAACGAATGTGCGCGGCGCTAAGGCGAGAGCTACATTATGAAAACGACCCGCCCTCCATCTGTGAAGCTGTTGTCACTTTTAAGCTTCAGGGTCGTACATGTTGAGGAAGTCTCAGGCGAAACGCCCGACCCGCCCTAAAAACTAGCCTAGGGGTGCGGCAGAGAGAAGTAATTTATAAGGAAAAGGAATGGAGAAGCAAGAGGAGGGAACAGTCGATCCAAATCGAGATCTCACCGCCACCCTGACAGGTATCCGGCAAACCCAAACGCAATTCGATGAAGGAAAGCTGCGCTTCCGTCATGTTCCTGCTCCGTCCCGCGCGAAAGTGGCGCGTCTCCGCCAGATGTCCTGCGCGCCGCCAAGGTGCAGACTGCTGGGTCTCAACCTCGGCGGCGCCGCATCCGCGAACGGTGCTTCGCGGCGAGGAGGGCAGAGCAACGGCTGAGCCGCAAACCAAACACGAGGTCAAATCGAGCAGAGCACGCAAGGGCGAACCTACCGGCGAACACAGCTCAAACTCGCGTGCTGCTCACCGCTCTCCCCGACGCAGGCGCTGGCCCGCGGGCGACCCCATCAGGCGGGAGAGGGAGAGAGCAGAGAAGGAACAGGGCATGTGACGGGCGGGAGGAGGAGGAGGAGGAGGAGGAGGAGGAGGAGGAGGAGGATCACCGACACCGGGCAGGTTCCGCAGATGAGGAAAAGGAGGAGTCCATCACGCGAAGGAGGATGAAGAGGAGGGGGAGGCGGAGGGGCAAGACCACCCCCCTCGCCCCCCCAGCTCCGACCCGGCTCGTGACGCCGAAGTCTGGATCCCTCCTCCCCCTCCCCAGGCTACGGCTGCCAGCGGGGGCTCCCAACGACGACGCCGCCATCGACGCCGCCGCCGCTCTCCGCGCCGCAGCCGCGGCGTAGCCTTGACGGCGACGCCGCCGCCGCCGCTCTCCGCGCCGCTGCCGCTGGCCGCCGCCAAAGGGCCGCCGCCGCCGCCCGGGAGGGGCCGCCGCCGCGGCAGGCCCGCTCCCCCCGCGGCTCGCCGGCCGAGCGGGCGGCGGCCCGCCGGCGGCCGCCCCCGCGGCGAGGGGCTGCGCCCACCTGGGGGGCTCCGCGGCGCCGCGGCCGCGGCCGCGGCGCAGCGTCGACGACGCCGCCGACGCCGACGACGACGACGGACGGCGAGGGCGAGGACGACGAGCCGACGATGCGGCCGCAAGGGAGGGAGACGGACGGAGGGAGAAGATGTGGGCGGGAGGGGGGGGCGGGGGAGGGGGAGGAGGGGTCCAGTCAGAACGCTCCTCTCGCCTTTCGGGGACGTCCCTGACCGCAGAGGCGGAGGGCGGGGAGGGTGAGAAGGACCTGGGCGGGAAAGGGCCGGAGGACCGCGGTGGCCATGCGTGCACGGCACCGCGCGCACGGCACGGCACCCGGCACGGCACCCCGGCATGACGCGGGGAGTCGCACGCGCAACAGGCGCGGCGCGGCGCGGCGCCGGCCCAACCCACCTACACAACCGACGGGCCGCTCAGGAGCAAGAAACCTTTGCGGCGCGCTCAAAGAGGGGGAGAGGGGGGGGAGACGAAGAGGGGGCAGGGGCGCGAACGGGTGGGGGGGGAAGGGCCGGGGAAGGGGGGAGAGGAGGCTGATGGTGGCGGTGGGCGAGGGCGCAGGAGTGAGTGCGAGGCAGGGGCGAGGGTGGGAGGGCGGCGAAGGGAGGGTGAGGGTGAGGGACGGGGCGGGGAAGGGCCGTGGAGGAGAACCCCCCCCCTTAGGCGAGCGGGGGGAGCACTCGGTCCTTCTGCGCCTGGCGACACTGAGAAAGATGGCGAGAGGGGGGGGTCCAGGAGGCCCCCCCCATCTCAAACGCACACACACACCACACACACACCACACACATATACATACATACATACATACATACATACATACATACATACATACATACATACATACATACATACATACATACATACATACATACATACATACATACATACATGCATGCATGCATGCATACATACATACATACATACATACATACAAACAAACAAACAAACATACATGCATACACGCATACATGCATACATGCATACATGCATACATGCATACATGCATACATGCATACATGCATACATGCATACATGCATACAGACAGGCAGGCAGGCAGGCAGACAGACAGAGACAGACAGACAGACAGACAGACAGACAGACAGACAGACAGAGAGAGACAGACAGACAGACGGACATACATACACATGTACACACATGTGTTCCCGAAGCTGTGCTTGCGCTCAGGGGTTCTTGCTCTTGTTCCCTCAATCATTGGATGAGTCCGCCAAGGCTTTTCCGCGTTACCGCCACCTGCCGCCTCGTCGGTGCTCGTGGGCGCCCAGTGCATTGGTCGGGCCCGCCGAACTTGCGCCACGTCGCCGCACGTGCGGTCTCGTTGGCGCCCCGTGCGCTGGGTGGGTCCGCCGAGGTCGCGCCACGTTGCCGCCCGTGCCACATCGTCAGCGCGGATGGGCGCGCCCGTGCTCTGAGCGTACACCACATAGCGTACACGCCTTCGCTTGCCCCACATAGCCTACACCACAAAAGCTTTCCCCTCTAGCTCACACCACATAACTCACACCACACAGCATACACCGCAGACGTGTTCCTTCAACCGTGCAACAAGTTACTGTCTGGGGCCCACGCTGGCTCACATGTTCGCATATACGTATGTCAAATGTCTAGTCTAGTGCCTAAGCAGTGCTTGCCCTAAGGAGTTCCGACTTCTCTTACTTGGGTAACTGGACGGGTCCACCCAGAACTTTCCACGTGGGCGCCTCATTCCCGCCCGTCGTCGCCTCGGAGGCGCCCTGTGCCCTGGATGGGCCCGCCAAGATTTCGCCTCGGTGGCGCCGAGCCCTGGGTGGTCCGCGGAGGTTTCGCGTCGCTGGCGCCCCGTGCCCGCCAGTGGTCGCGTCGTGGGCGCCCCGTTCCGTGCCTGGGTGGGTCCGCCGAGTTTTCGCCACCCCGCAGAATTTTCGCAACACCCATGGCATCACGTACTCCGGATCTCATGACAGAATGGGGGGGGGTTCTGCTTCTGGGGGGGTCTCACGGGCTTCGTCGAACACATTTGTGGGGGGGGTCTCGATTTTGGACCTGTTGTTGCCTGTCTTGGGGGGGGGTCCCAGACCGGCCGCCAAACACTTTTTTGACCCCCCCCCACTATTATGAGATTTGGAGTACCCTGCTCCGCGCAGCTAGCGCAACACAGCCAACACCACATCGTGTGCTCACTGCGCACATCGCTCACCCCCGCAATGCACTAGCTCGTTGGGTGGGGGGTCCACGCTGGCCACGAAGGGGCTTCTGCAAGTCCAACTCCTTCCAAAATCCCTCCTCCCTCCAAATTACCGTCGCCTCCTCCATTCGTTCCTCTTCCCTATATATATATATATATAGATATATATATACCTTCTCCCTGTCGCACCCTGGGGCCCATTTTTGGGGCGGGCCGGGTGTTCCGCCGAAGACTTCCGCACCATTTATCACCCTGAAGCATCAACGTTAGCAACAGCTTCACTCATGGAGGGCGGGTCGTTTCCAAAATGACGCTCTCGCCTTAACGCCGCGCACATTCGCTTGCTGATTGCAAGAATTTCACGGATCGAGGGCGACCCGTTTTCAAAACGTGGTTCTCGCCTATCAGCGCCGCGTGCATTCGCTTTAAACTTTGCAAGAGTTTCACGGATTTAGGGCGGTTCCTTTTCAACATGTGGCTCTCGCCTTAGCGCGGCGCACACTCGATGCCAAAACATATAAGAGTTGCATGGGTTCCCATGATCAGCGTACTAGAAAGGGTGTCTTGGAAGGATTCAGGATTAAGAGGGCGCAACAATTACGTTGATTCGCGGTGTTGAAGTCCCATGAATGGCGTTCTGGCACGATTCAGGATCGTCAAGACGCAACAATCAGGTTGATCCGTGGCGTTGGAATCCCGAGAACAATGTTTAGCAATGCTCCAAGGTCTTCACACGGTTGTCTTCCAACGAGGTCCAACGAGGCAATTCCCTCAGTGGCAATGAACCGTTGTAGGGGCCTAGAGGGAGCTTGCAGGGAGGGTCTATTCCAACATCGTTGATGACTCTTAGGTTTACACTGGTCCTCCTCCTCCTCCTCCTCCTCCTCCTCCACCGCTTGTTCGTCACTTCTCCATTCGCGCCCCCTTCCCTTCCTTCTCCTCCACCTGCTCCTCAATGCATGCAGGCGGAGTATCACAATGAGGGGAAAGCGCTGCGTCGCTCTATTTTGATCACTGAACTCAACCCCTCCTTCTCCTCAATCGATGGAGGAAGGTGGAACGGAACACGAACCGCGACGACGGGGAGGAGGAGGAGGAGGAGGAGGAGGAGGAGGGAAATGAGTAGGAGGGTTCCATCCTGAGTCGATCTTTGACAACCCGGAGGCAGGGCATGAGAGGCTGACGATAGCGAAAAAGCTCAGTTCAGGTTCGCCGTCGGGGTGATGATCAGGGAGGTTCAGAAGGGGTGGAGGGAGGAGGAGAAGCATGAGGGGGAGGAGGAAGACCCGATGATCAAGTGCACTCCGCTGAATCAACTGGGAAGCCAAGCGAGACAGATGAGGATGAGGATGAGGATGATGAGGAGGACGACGACGAGGATGAGGGGGGAGGGAGGAGAGACGAGGAGGGAGGAGGAGGAGGAGGAGGAGGAACATTGGGAAGATTGGGGATATCTGACAGCATAGGTCGAGACAGTGCCCAGAAGAACATGGCGAAACAACCTGGGTTAAGTCCTGGAGCTCTGAGCCCATCGAAGCTAGGGCTCCCAACTTCGCGCTTCGCTCTCCGCGAAGCGCGAATCACTTCGTGCTCTCGCGCCACCCCTCCAAAGGGAGAAAAGGAGGACGAGGAGGAGGGGTAGAAGGAACGAGGACCGCGAAGCGCGAATAACTTCGCGCCCTCGTGGGAGCCCTTGGTTAGCAACGTTCAGTGCCATGCCAGCAATGCCCGATCCACCCAGGATTTGCCGGCAGAGAGACCTGTTTGGGGGGCCCGCTCAACGCAGTCACTAAGCGCCTCGGCTGACTGCTTTGCGGCGGGTGCCTTTTCCAGCCGGCAAGGGGGGACCAGAACCGGGATAACGGACGGCCAGACTTGCAGCCATCCCGCCACAACTCCCGTCTGCATCGGCGTGCTCGGAGAAGGCCTCGCCAGAACACGGTGCTGCTCCTCTTCTCTCTGCCTCCTCTCGCTCAGCACTCCCACCGAACCTCAGCAAGAACTCGCGGCTGCTACTGCCCTCGCCCATGCCACTTGTTCCACTGGGTTGCGGTGCTAAGCCCGAAAATAATACCACGAATAACTCCGACACGGGATGTCGTGGAGGTTCGGGGTGAACCGCCAAACCCTAAGGCCCCTGTGGGGCACCGGCCGCGCGCAGCCACCGGCTGCTGGAGCCTATCTCACCGCGCGCCTCTATGGTCACGCAAAATCGACCTCTTGCCTTTCCTTCCCCTCTATACGATCGTGTTCCCAGCCCTCCCCCCCTTCTTCTCATTTTAATTCAGTGCATTATTATTGGTGGTATTACTATTCTTAGTATTGTTATTCGTATTATCATTTCTATTATTATTATAACAAGTAGAAGGAATATTATTCATCTCATCATGCGTCTTATTACTCGTATTGTGATTCGGCTTATTCTTCCTTTCATTATTAATATTAGTATCCGTCTCATTGTTTATGCTTAGTACTCTTCTTCTTCTTATTATTCTTCGGCGCGCGCCCGTGGCACGGGCACACCCCTGCAGTGGGGGCCAGGATGGCGGGGAGGTAACCGAGGGATCATGA